TAAGTTGTTATCACTTCTCTGATTATACCACAGATCTTACTTTATGTAAGTTTATAAGATTTAGAATCATCTTTAATGAAAGTTTATAAGATTTAGAATCATCATGACCCCTTATTTACAAAGATTGCCAAAACAAAATTAAGAGGGTACAAAGCCAGCTCATGTTTGACAAACAAAACTGTTCAGTCTCTGCAAAGATTCCCCCAGCTAACTTAACATGGGACATTTATTGTCCACTGGTCAGGAGCTGGCAGACCTGCTGTGTCCACTCTTAACAGCTCTTGAACAAGCACTTGCATCCTGCTTTAACAGCATGACTAGATGACTTCTGAAGGCCTCTCTCAATTCCTGACCAATGGTTTATTTCTGCTGCTTAAATATGGGTTCATTTCCTCAGAAAGAAATAGTATACACACATTTGTCAGTTATAAATCCCTGACCAAATTATCTCAGCTGCATATAGCACAGGAGGTACTGTAGATATTGTTGACTGTCAGCTTAGGCTGTGGTTATACAGGATGAATACCTTTCTGTCCTCATTTCTGAGCACTGTAGGTGCTCAGAAAGTCAACCTATTGTTAGAGAGTGTCAGAGTTTGAAGCAGAAATAAAACCAAGATGTTAGCACTCCATTACTAAAACTGAAGCTGTATTGTTACAAAGGGAAATCTCTCAAGCATTTTTCTGTCTGTTGTTCTCACAGTGCCCTTCATGGCAGAATGAGACAAATAACTCACATGAAAGGTTTCATCCTGGAAGACACTGCACAGCAGCCATCCTTCTAAAGTATCTAAAAAAAGTATTTTTCATGTGTGCACAGATTTACTTATCACTCTTATGCATTTACGTATCTTTTATTCCACTGCTTAAAAATAAGTTCGCTTACTGTTGTACCATTTGCATAGTTATGCCATTGTTACTGTCAGAATGATCTTACAAGTATCTGCTGAAAACATTCTTAAATGTAGACATGTTTCACTCTAACAAGTCAGTACATCAGTTTTTATTGCTTCCTGCAACAGTCAAAAAGAAAACCGTTTCCTCATCTGAGGCAAATCACCTTTTTTCCTTTATAACAACCAACACAGTTCCCAGACAAGTTTGACTTTTTGTTTGCTTGCTTGTTTTAACGCTTCTAAAATCATCAGAAATCTTCATATGATGAGAACTATATAACGCTTTATTATCTTCATGCAGCAAAAAGTAAGGAAAAAATGGTGAACATGTGTTATAGATGTTTGATGGAGTAAGGATGAACAAGAAGTAGTGAATTTTTGTGAGGCACAAGGAACTTATATTGTGCTCCAGTAATAAATGGATATGATTTTGTGCTGGCTTCTCTTCCTCAGCTGCTGAATTACTCCTATTAACAGAATACAACAAATGACACAAGTTACATAGCTGGCACTTCTTACTGCATTGCTTGAAGAAATGCATGCTCCATCTCCAGCTGCAGAGATCTCACCAGATGTGGTTGTTAAACCAATCACACTGCCAGCAACTAAAGCAAGTGGCATGGTCTTCTGCAAGGCGAGGCTATCTACTACATGTTTGGTTTTGGCTGTTTTACAGGACTTGTAGCAAGCATGGTAATTAGCTGTGGAGGAAGCATGGTAATTAGTTGTGGAGGTTATGTTTTGTGACTGGGTAAACATTTAGATTTTCCTGATTTATATGATCACAGAATCACAGGCTGGGTTGTGGTGGAAGGGACCTTAAAGCTTATCCAGTTCCAACCCCCTGCAACCAGCAGGATACCTTCCACTAGACCAGGTTGCTCCAGGCCCCTTGCAACCCGGCCTTGACCACTGCCAGCAATGGGGCAGCCACAGCATCTCTGGGCAACCTGTGTTACTGCCTCACCAAACTCACTATTAAAAATTTCTTCCATATGTCAAATCTAAATCTACACACTTTTAGTTTAAACCATTGCCTCTTGTCCTGCCACTACAGGCCTTGCTAAAAGTCTCCATCTTTCATATAACCCACTTTTATACAGTCAAAGGCCACAACAAGGTCTCCGTGGAGCCTTCTCTTCTCCGGGTTGAACCAGCGAGCTCTCTCAGCCTGTCTCCAAAGCAGAGCTGCTCCAGCCCTCACAGCACCTCTGTGGCCTCCTCTGGACTCACTCCGGCAGCTCCATGTCCCTCTTGTGTTGTTGCCTTGGAGCTGGACGCAGGAGTACCAAGACAGAGAGTCTGCTACAGTCTCCAGGCTACATTAGAACTTCATTCTCAGAGTTTATTAACAACACTTAAAGATCTGACCAATGTAACCTGATTTGGAGATATGAGTTCCTTTCAAACTAACACTCATAAAACTGATCTGTTTGCATGTTTCCCCAGTTTTAATTCAATCAAAAAAACCCCACCAAAAAGCTGCTGGAAAATTCCTGCTGACAAAATGGGGTAGCTTTCATCGTGTTGCGTAGCTGTAGAGCCAAAAGAGGAAACTTTCCCAGCCCTGGGGAAGTGCATTGGTGCTGAGCCACTAAACACCCGACACTTGTTGCTATCACATTTGTATTGCTTTCCTCAGACAGAAAAAAAAGAAGAAGTTTATCTTAAGCTTGTGAGATATACCAGTGAGAATTTAGCGTAAGTATATACTGAGCAGAAATGATTTGTCCATTCTTTGGTATACTAAGTGTTCTGCAAGTCTCATAAATAATTTTTAAAGCTACCTACTGTGATAAAATATGCAGCGGGGGTCTGACTAGAATACTGTGATATACTGATATTGGGAATTCCATGTCTTACAACACATTTTCTTACCTGATTATCTTCCCACCTCCCTCCTAATTCCCATGAAATTACTGAATTTGTTTATTGTGTAGCACCCATAATGGAGTTTACAATATGTAGATTGTTACCAGAAAGGATGGCTGCATTTAAATTAACATTCAAAATACCTTGTGTACATGCAGGGTGTGATATGCTCATCTTTTCTGAGAACATTAAAACAGTGATCTTGACCATCTTATCTTGTTCACTCATTTTATTAGTGTGGTTTTTTTTTTTGTGGAAAACTACAGTATAATGTTAGTCTCTGTGAGATTGCATCTTGACTTTTTTTCATTTCACAGCAATTTATTGCAGACCAGAATAAATTCAAAGTATAAAAACTGCCTGTCTCAGATGTAATATTGTGTCAGATAATATCATCTTAGTAAATATTGTTTTTCGTGGAAAAAAAAAGAAAATAGTGGACATACATTATCCTGAGAAAACTCGTAGAGCAGGCATTCCCAGATCTGTGGACCTGGGGGATAAAAAATTGGAGATGTACTTCATATTTTTTTTTTTCAGTAAATAGTGCCCTCTGCAGCATGCCTGCAATTTCTGCAAGTACAATGCACTTTCTGGTTGACCCTTAATGCATCACAGGCAAGGGATTTTGTGACAAAAATATATAATTCCAGAGAACCTGCATAGCTCTACTGTTGCTTTGCAGTGGATGCTGTAGATCTAAATGTTTCCCAGGCTTCAGTCAGCACCCAGAAAAGGATTTCTGGATTTGTGGGAAACATAGTGTTTGTGAGGAATGCAAAACTAGTCAGATACGAAGAAGTAAGCGTGCTCATTAAAACACTTATAACAACATAATTCGAAAAACTTTTCTATACAGCTCTTTCTAGCAGTAATACTGTGCATTTGTATGGTGTCTTTCAGCCAAGAGTTTCATTTAATAATTCCTGTGAGATTTGTATAGGACATGGTACACATTATTAACATCATCTAGAGTATAATATTTTTTTTTAATTTTGTTTTTGTTTTATTAAGGATTTTTAAAAACCTCAGTATATGGTGTAATGTTTATCTGTTTAATTTTAAAGACCTTTTAGTCATGACAGCAGTTTCTAGTTCAGATCTTTTCTCTTCTGAAGTTCTCCCTTTTCTGCTGTACATAATTTGTCTTACAATGCACTGCCTCTTATTCAAAGAGAACTTTTAACCATTTATGGGACTTGATAGTGCCTGCCTGATTCTTAACAGAATAAGTTCAGCCAGAGAATAAAAGTATGCTGGGATAAGAAAAATAAGAGCTAGGCAAACATCTGTCAGGAATCATTTAGGTATAACTGGGGCAGAATATTGACTAGGTGACCTCATGAGGGCATCTTTGTTTCCAGTCCCACTTATTATTATTCCATGAAAACCTTTGCTTGAGAAGACCTCTTCTTATACTGTGTCACTCTGCTACAACAAAGATCAACATGAGCGTCTGTACTGAAGATCTCTCATTATATGCACATGAAAAGGGATTACAAGTTGGTTACTTCACAGTCCTAGGATATGGACTTAATCTAAAAAGCAAAACAGATTGGAAGACATTGAACTGCATGCAGCAACCCTTAACTGCTTCCAGTCATTGGAATATGGCTTGGGCATTTATACATTAGGTACCAACTCTAGTTAAGACATCAAATCTACAGGCTGACCTTCCACTATGTCTACTCTAGATATCCTTCTGCTACAACAGCAAGATTGGGAGTGCCTGGAGGTCATCTTTCCCCAGAATCCTTCTGTATATGTCATAGGAGGGGGGAGTTAAGTATTCAAACTTTTCTTGGTTTTGGGGGACATTTCACCCAATTCCCAACTTCTGATCATCACACCACTTTGGCATTCCCATGTTTGTTTCATGCACAGATAAGAAGTCTGTTAAGTCTGTGACCTTTTTGCAAGAATGTAGACAAGGAGTAGTGATGGGTCTGCTGTGGAAGGAATCCTTACCTGGACACAGTCCTCCAGAGCAGAAAAGCAAGAGATTTTTCTCTTCTGATTCAGCACAGGGAGGGAACAAGCACAGGGAGGGAACTGAGCATTCATCAGACCTAAGAATTGTCCTCTGTGTAGGACATCAGCAGTAGCGTAGCTCAAGTCTTGAGTTGGAGGGCAGATATGGGGCAAGCTGTGGGCTTCTGTGGGAGCAGAGGCAGGAGATAAGGTGCTGACAAGGAGAAGCTGAGGCCAGTCATGCTCAGCACAGTGAGTTCATCTATATAGCAGCATCTGCAAATTTGAGAAGAAGAAGAGCAGACACTGACTGAGCCCTGCAACCTAAAACCAACACAGAACATTGTTAAGGACAAAGCACTGAGCTCAAAACTGAGGAACTCTTGGTCCAGAGTTATGCAGGAGGCTCATGGCACAGAATACACCCCAGACACAGCACCTGAAATTACTCTGGTGAAGAGCTTGGATGTGTTTCAGCCACATGCCACAGCTGCAGAGTGCTTGCCATGCTAGGTAGACAAGGGTCTTCTTAGGATCCTTCACAAGAGGGGACCTCAAATAAAAACAGGTAGAGAAAATGTGAATATTGTTTGATAATGCATAAGATCCAGAGAAGTATTAGTCCTTCCACAAGGAGTAATTACATACATCTACAAGATGGAGATTATAAGGATTGAGGAGAAATGTGGGAGAACAAAGTCACCAACTGTCTGTGAAAACTTGCCATGGGTGGCAATAGCAAGTGGATAATGGAGCCCTTCTCCCAGGAATGTCCCACACTGGAAGCGTCAGGAAAACCCCTGGTGGCCTCAACTGGCTATTGGGTACCCTTTTTCCTTTAAGTCACTGGTCTGGTCCTGTTATGACTCATCAAGAACAGCAGTGTCTTACCTAGGAATACATCTATAGACCGTAAATATTTGTAACTTTTCCCTTTTTTTATTAAATTCAGTAAAATAAGACATGCATGGCTCATGAATTGGTAGGTACACCAGGAGATTTGGTGTATCACCACCAAGAACTATTCTATAGCTATGGGACTTCTAACAGAGATGAGGTTTACAGCCTCTAAAAGGCTGACAAACAGTATTAATGGGTGTTTTGCGAACTGCCATGGTTTAAGCCCTGTCAGCAAGCCAGCCACACAGTTTCTCTCTTCCCCCCCCCCCCCAACTCTTTCTTCCCTTCCAACCGCCCCCAGAGGGATGGGGAGGAGAATCGAAAGAAGAATTAAATTCCCACGGGTTGAGGTAAGAACAGTTTACAAACTAAGATATAACAGAAATCACTACTGCTGCCACCAATAATAATAATGATAAAGGAAATAACAAGGGAAGAAAATACAACACCTCAACACCCGTTGACCGGTAACTGGCCACACCCAGCACTGAACTAGCTCTTCTGGGTAACTGCCCCCAGTTTATATAGTGGGCATGACATGCTGTGGTATGGAATACCTCTTTGGCTAGTTTGGGTCAGGTGTCCTGTCTCTGCTTCCTCCCAGCTTCCCCTCCTCCCTGGCAGAGCCTGAGGCTGACAAAGTCCTTGGTCAGTCTAAACATCTGAGCAGTAATTAAAAACATCGGTGTTATCAGCGCTGTTCCTAGGCTGAAAGTCAAAAACACAGTGCTGCACCAGCTACTAAGAAGAAGAAAAAAATGACTGCTATTGCTGAACCCAGGACAGTATCCAACCATTATTCCATACCATTCACGTCATGCTCAGATCCCACATTTTCAATATACCGTCACTTTTACATATATACATCCACATACACACACAGATAAAGAGATCATTCCTTAATGCATGGACCGATCCCTATAAACCTGCTGAGTCCATTTGGTCAATAATGTTGCGTTCCATCTTTTGTAACAGTCTTTCAGGGCAGGAGAGGCTGTGTGCAGTGTTCACACTTGTGAATAACCTGGGAAATAGCGTCCATTGTTAAGTTCACCCCTCGATCATGAGTCCATCTGTATGTTGCATCTCTGCCCTGATGGCCTTAAGTGTCATGGGCCCACCAGGCTCAAAGTAATTCGACCTCCCCTTCAGCAGTCTGCAACTTTTCATTGGGGATTCCATACAGCTGCCTTCCATCTGCAACGCTTCCAAAGCACTGGAGGGGCCCACTGGCCTAGATACTTGCTCATACTGTCCCACACACCCTGCCACTCATGACTGTCCAGCCATGGGGAAAATCTCCTGGTCCTCCTATATTGTAGTCTAACCCTAGACAAGACCCAAACCCGACTCTGCTTAAATTTTGAGATCAGACAAAATGGTTGTGGGTAGAACACAGTCTGTATGTGTGCCAACATGCTGATCCCCATTACAATCAGTAGGCAGGTCCCAAAGTTACTCAAAGGCCATTCAAAACCTTCAGAACTCTCAGTTGATGCTGCTGTACTTGTCACTGGGGCTGGTGTAGCTGCTGTGCTTGCCGGCTCTCCCACCACCAGCTTCTCTTTTCCTGAGTCCAGATCTTCTTCCTCTGCCTTGCTGCGAAATGCTGCATGGCCTCCTGCATCCTCCACTGGTTCCAGGTGCCCGAGGCTGGACCCAACTGAGGCTCCCGAAGGTGGTATCTTGCTTTCCGCATCCTCTTGGGGCTCGGGCTCGTGGGGCTCGGTGGGAGGCTGCTGGGGGATGCTCTCGGCTGCCGCGGGGCTGGGCTCGGCATCGGGGCTCTGCTTCTCCACAGCCTCCTCCCACTGCTCAGCAGCCCCGACCTCCTCCACCGGCAGCCGCTCCCTGCTAGGCTCCAGCCCCTCTCCCACCGCTGCTTGGTCCCCGGGGCTGCTCTCCCGGGCTGCTTCGGCTGCCACCAGCTCCCACGACCACACCTCTTTGGCTCCCTGCAGCCTCACAAAGACGGAGGTGAGGATGAGGGCCAGGCCGGTGAAGAGCAGCCGGACGGCCAGGTACAAGTCCACGGCCACGTCCGTCTCGCCCTGCTGCTGGAGCCCGCCCGTATTACAAGTAATTGCCATAGAGTACAGTGAGACAAGAACCTTAGCCCAAGCCCCACACCTGATAAACACTAACACAGCAAACACCGGCCTTACAGCTCTAAGTAAGGTACAACATTCTGAAACTGTGAGATCAAGAGAAACAACTTTGAGAGCCAATAAATCAGCATTGTGACAAGTGACTATTAATCCGGTCAGATCTGTCGTTATCTCAACCCTTTGTGCCCCACATTGGGTGCCAAAAACAACTGTCGTGGTTTAAGCCCCTGTCAGCAAGCCAGCCACACAGTTTCTCTCTCTCCTCCCCTCTTTCTTCCCTTCCCCGCTCCCCTCCCCCCCCCCCCCCCCCCCCCCCCGATGGGGAGGAGAATTGAAAGAATGTAACTCCCACCAGTTGAGATAAGAGCAGTCCAGTAACTAGGGTACAACACAAATCACTGCTGCTACTACCAATAATAGTAATGATAAAGGAAATAACAAGGGAAGAGAATACGATACCATCTGCCGAAACGAGCTCGACTGAGCAGAGAGAGTGCCCTTCCTGGTAACTCCTAGTTACATCCCGGGCATGACGTGCTGTGGTATGGAATACCTCTTTGGTCAGTTTCGGTCAGGTGTCCTGTCTCTGCTTCCTCCCAGCTTCCCCTCCTTCCTGGCAGAGCCTGAGGCTTACAAAGTACTTGGTCAGCCTAAACATTTGAGCAGTAACTAAAAACATCGGTGTTATCAGTGCTGCTCCCAGGCTGAAAGTCAAAAACACAGTGCTGCACCAGCTACTAAGAAGGAGAAAAAATTACTGCTACTGCTGAACCCAGGACACCACCACAACTCAGTTACTAGCATTTTTTCTCATTGCAGCATTAAAGTGAAATATCATTTTGTTCCTACCCTTGAAAGACACGCCTGGAAATATTGTTTGACTGTTATAGAGGTCACTGGAGGTAGGTAGCTGCTAAAATAATGAGCAGTAATAGAACTGTAAGTCTGACCTCCCTCACAGCTCTGGCCTGATATATTAATATACCTTATATAATGTACTAGTACAATATTCAGTCTCAAGGAATTGGAGATTGAGCATTTTCCCTTACTCTCTCTCCCGAATATTGGAAGTCCAAGTCAATATATTAGTTGCCATTTGTAATTATGTTAACTTTCAGGATTGGACATCATATTGTTTCAAAAACACTTGTGTTTTTGAGAATTTTTAAGCGATAAAGTTTATTCATTTTCTCTGAGATATTTTACAAATACGTTTACTCAGATAACCAAGTTGTATTTTCCCCAGCGCAATCATTCTAACTAGTCATCTTTGGACCCTTATCCTCCCAATTCAGTCTGAATGTACTTGTAGTAAGCAATGCACTGAAAAAAAAAAAGAAAGAAAAACAAAAACAAGCAAAGAAAAAACAGCAAAAAACCCCCAACAAGAAACAACACCCCCCCCCCCAAAAAAAAAAAAAACAAAAAAAAACCACCAAAACCTGCATGTTTTTACTGCACATAAAAGACATATAATAGTTGTCTCCCCCAGCAACATGTTCTACGTTCAGGACTACTCTATACGTCATACTGTGTGTTTGTTTTATCAAAGGTGGATTCATAGAAGAAAACATCTGCCTTTAACATATTTGTTGGAAAGCAAGTGTGAAACAGTTCCCATCTGTTCACCATAACATATATTTGCAGGACAAGCCTTGGGCTGGCTTTCTCCAAGGAAGACAGCATGAAGGCCAGGAAGGAACAGATAAAAACATGTAACTGAATCTGCTGTACAGGGTCACATCTGGTTGCAAGCCTCAAGAAGGTGGATTTCAACAACAGCACACTCTTGCCTGGAGTGTAAGATTCTGGTTGTAATACACCAACGACGCAGGTCCACAGACACCAAGTCAAGCTGATCGAACAAGAAACATGAAATAAAAGTCTGGAAGAAGATGCCAAACAAGCTACCAAGGGCAAAATGGCCACTGAGACTGAAATCGGTACAGGCTATGGGAGTGAGGGAAAGACACAGCTGGTGCAGGAAAAGAAAAGAAAGCTCTAATAGGAGAAAAGGTTTCTCATTCCACAGCCAACACTAACCAGGACATGTCACTCATTAAGAGAGTTCTCCATTCCTCTTACTCCCATTCCACAGTAGCAAGTCATCTCTCTAGGCACAGAGGATTACCCCTGAGGCCCACAAGTGTTCTGGGAGGAAGATACCACCACCAAGACCTACACATGAGCTTGTGGTTGTCAGGACAGCAAGCACAGGTCAAGCGTGCTGCAGAGAGAGCAGGCACCACCATGGTGATTCAAAATTCAGGGTCTCTGCATAGTGCTGCTATGCCAAAGTGCTGCAGGCAGGCTTCTGGGACCTCCATTAGCTACACAAGACTCCTTAAAATTGTTTGGACCAGATATGTGAAACTAGGCAAAATCCTAGGACTCACAGGATGCAAAGTTACCAGAAATCCAAATTATCCATGATTTTTTTTTTTTTAACATTTTAGAGATAGAGGAGAAAATTTTCTTTCAGCCTTTAGTTTTAATCAATCTAGAATGTTCTCAAGAAAAGGAGCAAGAAACAAAAAAAACCCTAAATGTTAACCTCAGTGTTTACCTTGTAGCATATTTGACATCAGGCCTCTTTTTTTTTTCCTGAGAAATAAATTATTTTTTGCATTTAATGCCCGAGAAGTAGTAGATTCACTGAACCCTTTCAGTTCATGCAAATCTGGAAATACTTCGCAAGCCCAAGTTACCATCCCTCCCAGATTGGTTCCTTGCTGCCTGTAATTCATGGCAGCTAACAAAAAAAAAAAAACTAAGAAAGCACACTTATTTCATACATATTTTTTCCCAGTGAGCCCAAAGAACCCTATAAGGCTTTTGACCATTAGAGAAAAACTGTGTTTTCCTGTTGTACACCCAGGAATGCTCAGCTGGAGCATTTGGCAAAAGCATCATGGCAATGGGGCCAAGAACCTCCAAGACAAGTATATATGTATGCCTGTATGCCTGTTCAGTCTTGCTTAGACCTATTGAAGAGGATTTAAAAAAAATCCAGTTTATTACAAAAAGTTAGGGACACATCTGGACAGCTACCATGTTACTCAAAAGTTTAGCTCACTGAAACATCAATTTTGTGTTCATCATCAGAGCGACAGAGAGCACAAAGAAAATTGGTTTCTGTAGGAAGGTCCAAGCTCAGGGTCTCAAACCTGCCCAGCATAGCAGAGGATATGTGGAAGCAGTAATGGAGGAACAAGGTTCTCTATGTGGAAATTCACCTTCAGTACCAACGATCCACCACCTCCTGCATCTGCATTGCCTTACCTTCTGTACCTCTTCTGAAAAAAGAACGTGTCACCACTAAAGCTGTGGTGAATCAGTATCTGTATTTCATACCACATTGCACTCTGAGCAGTGAACGCATCGCAGGTAAAATTGGAAGAGAGTAAAGAGCAAAACTGATGCTGTGCAGGACATGTTACGAGTGTCACAGCGTTGATCAGAGGAGAAAAAAAAGAAAGCTAAAATGCAAAAATTTGTGTCATATACTTTCCATTGACTAAAAATGTTTCAGTGGCATCATGTGATTACAACCATTTATCCTGCTGTAACTCTTGTGTTAGCAACTTAGCCCATTAGTCTCGATACAGAACAAATTGGACAAATTTTTTAGTTCTCTTGGTTTATTGCAATAATATAACCATTGTATTAATACCTTTAATAAGTTCTTACTTGGGTGATCTTCACAAATGCTTCGCATTTAAAGATTTAATAAAAATGTTCCATTTAATGGTTCAATATTATTAAAGCAGGATTTTATGGAGGTAGTATATATTTTCATCTATCAATCTCTTTCTGTGGACATATGGGCGATAAAAGTATATGCATTAGAATTTGTCTTTAATAAAAGCCATATATTTTAGCAAGGCAATACTCTAAGAGTGGACAAGTTCATTTACAGGTTTCAAAGGGACCTACAAAAAACCCTATTCATCTGTCTTAATTATGTCAGTGCTGAGTCTTGAATTTACTCTCTCTTCATAAATACTAGTTAAAATTTAATTTCTGGTGTTCTGCATGAAGTACACTTAAAAATTAAGGTTCACAGAACTTACAGCTTCAAGTCAAAGCAGTCTTCCAGCAACCTGCATTAAAAACTTTGGAGTCCTGATCAAGAGATTGAAAGATACTTTTTATTTCTAAAGCATCATGAGAACCATAATGCGTAAGTGACTGTGAAGAGCTCTAAGCCTTTTGCAGAGTCCTGTAGATATGTCTGTAACACTGATGGTAATTCTGGCAACATGCAGGTGTTGTAAGCTGCTAAACTCTGCTCAGATTTATACCAACTTTTTTTTTTTATTATTCCTCCTAATTTTAAAGCTGACTTAGACACTGAACTTATTCAGTAAGCAGAAAAAAGTAAAATATGCAGGGGCATCAGAAAAAAAAGAGAAGTGATGGAAATAATGAAATCGTTACCAATATTTGATGGACTCCGACACTTGAGCAGCTTTAGCACAGACAGACTAGAAGTATCTTTCTGTCTGTCAGGCTAGAAGTACCTTTCTCTGCGGTCACATCAACATGCCTGAAGCACCAAGGTGGGAGAAGGCTGAAGGAGGGTGAAATCAGGTTTCTCTGAAAATAGCTGTGTCCTGCATCCACACACATAAAGGCAGTATACATCTAGTATACTGTTTTCAAGCAAGTTAGCTATTAGACTTCAGTCAAAACTAATTGAGTAGCCTGATCTGTGTTTCGTCCTGGTCCTACCTGGAATAGTTTGTCACACTGACTGTCCTGGTTTCAGTTAGAATAGGGTTAATTTTCTTCCTAGTAGCTGGTGCAGTGCTGTGTTGTTTTACTTTAGCCTGGTAACAATGTTGATAACGCACCCCTGTTTTGGTTGCTGCTCAGTAGTGCTTACCCCAATCAAGGACTGTTCAATATCTCATGCTTTGCCAGTGAGGAGAGCCACAAGAAGCCGGGAAGAGGCAGACACAGGACAGCTGACCCAAAGTAGCCAAAGGGGTATTCTATAGCCCAGCATGTCAGGCACAGTATATAAACTGGG